TCGAGATGGTGAAAGTATGAAATAGGGTCGAGATGGTGAAAGTATGAAATAGAGTCGAAATGGTGAAAGTATGGAAAAGAGTCGAGATGGTGAAAGTATGAAATAAAGTCGAGATGGTGAAAGTATGAAATAGAGTCGAGATGGTGAAAGTATGAAATAGAGTCGAGATGGTGAAAGTATGAAATAGGGTCGAGATGGTGAAAGTATGAAATAGAGTCGAAATGGTGAAAGTATGGAAAAGAGTCGAGATGGTGAAAGTATGAAATAAAGTCGAGATGGTGAAAGTATGAAATAGAGTCGAGATGGTGAAAGTATGAAATAGGGTCGAGATGGTGAAAGTATGAAATAGAGTCGAAATGGTGAAAGTATGAAATAAAGTCGAGATGGTGAAAGTATGAAATAGAGTCGAGATGGTGAAAGTATGGAATAGAGTCGAAATGGTGAAAGTATGGAAAAGAGTCGAGATGGTGAAAGTATGAAATAGTGTCGAGATGGTGAAAGTATGGTAAAGAGTCGAGATGGTGAAAGTATGGTAAAGAGTCGAGATGGTGAAAGTATGAAATAGAGTCGAGATGGTGAAAGTATGAAATAGAGTCGAGATGGTGAAAGTATGAAATAGAGTCGAGATGGTGAAAGTATGAAATAGAGTCGAGATGGTGAAAGTATGAAATAGAGTCGAGATGGTGAAAGTATGAAATAGAGTCGAGATGGCGAAAGTATGAAATAGAGCAGGCGCGTAGCCAGGGGGGGCGGTGGGGGCGGTCGCCCCCCCAAAAAAAAACGCCGGCCAGAAAAAAAAGAGAGAGAAAGAGAAGAAAAAAAGGAAGAGGACGTAGGAAGAAAAAGGAAAAAGGAGTCGAGAACGGTACAACGAATCGTCTTCTCTCTCTCATAATTTGATAAAACGTCAAAGCTTCCGCGCTTCGCGCGTAAAGGGGGGGGGGGAATTGAGTTCAAATTAAGGATTAAGAGTCGAGAACGGAACAATGAATCGTCTTCTTTCTCTAATAATTTAATGAAACTTCAAAGTGAGGGGAGGAAACTGAATTCAGATAAATTAAGGGTAGAAAGGTACAACAATCACCTTCTTTGTCTAATAATACGCCAAAGCTTCCGCGCTATGCGCATGAGGGGCGGACTGAATTCAGACAAGGATTATGAGTCGAGAAAGGTACAAGAATCGTCTTCTTTCAAAGCTTCCTGCACCCACCCCCATAGGGAGCGCGCCATGCGCGCTCTTTAAGTGATTCGCACGCTTCGCGTGCTCACTACCGCCCCCCCCCCCCTAAAATGAAATCCTGGCTACGCGCTTGAAATAGAGTCCAGATGGTGAAAGTATGAAATAGAGTCGAGATGGTGAAAGTATGAATAGAGTTACGGAGTGAATGATAGAGTGTTACTGTTAGACCTCAAAAAGACATTTGGGTGCTCTAGAAAAGTTGGTGATTAAGCATAGAGATCGATGATACGTCAAATGCGTTGTGGATATAACGATACGGCGTTACGGCGTATATTACGGCGTTTCGGCATGTTACGGCGCTAAACTACGAATTTACGGTGTGTATGTTTGCTGTACAATAATTATGTTAACTTTAAAAAAAAAAATTTTACGAAGAAATAATACAATAATGTGACTTGGGTTCTATTTCTCTAGTTAAAAATGTTTCGTATATTTTATCTCTGTTCCCTAGTAACATGACTAAATTGCAATTCTTATCTTTGTATTCAAATCTATTTTGATGATGTTTTGAGAGAGTCCAAACATAGCCCTGAATATATCAAAGTGTTGCGTGAAAGTCCAAAGAACTCGGCGGTATAAACAGGTCGGAGTAAAACAAGCTTCATTTGTCGAAAGTCTGTTGAGAAATGAGAGGTTCATAAACTCAATACACGATCAATAAGAAACAACGGTACTATTGCTGAAAAGAGGTAATTCAAATACAAAAGAGACTAGACCTATACTAGCCTATAATCTAGGCGGAGTGCCGAGCTTTTTTCTTTGCTGCTAGACTAACCTTAAGCAGAACGTCTGATACGGCGAGACTACGAACCGTGAGTCGCGAAGCGGCTCACGGTTCGTAGTCTCGCCGTATCAGACGTTCTGCTTAAGGTTAGTCTAGCAGCAAAGAAAAAGCTCGGCACTCCGCCTAGATTATAGGCTAGACCTATACAAAATCAATACCCATTACTGAGAGGAACTGGACAATGGATGGATAGGGGAAGACGGGGGGGGGGGGGGGTAGGAATGCAGAACTGGCCTACTATGTATGTACCTACTGGATAAGGACCCTCCATCACTAGAGGGAAAAATAATGAGAGACTTCAAAGAGGGGAAGGCATATAGTTATTTTGCCTTGTGAAAAAAATTAGATTTAGCCCCTAAAAAGCGTTCCTTCGGGTATCAAATGATGACAGGTGAAACCTCACAATAATGTAGGATTATTATCTGTAATGTGATTTCCAAACCATGTGACAGCCAATGGTGTATGTTGTAAAAGGTATTGTAAAAGGCATTGTTTAACACCAGGCCCCCCCCCCCCCCCCCCCACCCACTCCGAGAACAGACGGACCCCATGCGTGTTACCAAAATGTCCGGTAAAGGGGTACTTTTCGTGTGACAGTGTCCGGCCCGAGAATTGTACAAAAAGGGGTGTATTAACTTTTCACCCGGAGATTTCTTTAAAAGGGGGTATTTTTTTCTTTTTTTCTCTTATCTCTTTGGACTCCTGAGAAATTATTCTGAATTTAGGGGGGTACATTGAGCATTTTTCATGATTTAGGGGAGTCTCCAAGGCAGGAAAAGCCCGCGAAAGGGGGTTCGGAAATGTTGGCAGTCCTCAGATAGTGGGTGCTTTCAAAAAGATGGAACAAGCATATGCGTACCCTAAATAACACTGAGTGGGGGGGGGCAGGGTTTAACAATGTTTAATTCGAGATTGACGTATGGCCCTACGCGCTACCAGTGTCTGCGATATGGTGTATTAATACTGAAGCCCTAACAAAATCGCGCTTCAAAATGATCAAGAAGTGCCTCAAAAAAGTAAAAATCTTTGATTGACCCCTTTTACCATACTCGTTTTCTCCAATAGACTTGTAGTGTTATGAAAAGCGTTTGACAAACACAAAATTTGGTTTCGATTTCCAATCGTAAATATCTTGATAATCAGACAGGCGATCGGATTGTAAAAGTCATTGAGTTCTTGACTGACCTAAAATTATCATTGCAGCATGAGCTAAATCCAGGATTTTGTTTCAGAATCTGAGATAATGTTACCGGATCCCTTTAAATGCGTTTGCATTAAAGGTGGTACCCCTCCAACTCAGTGTTATTTAGGGTACCCACATGCGTGTTCCCAGCACCCCCTTTTTTAGCATAAGTCCCCTGTGTTAAGTCAATACGGGTAGATTTTGTTTCTTTGTTATACAAGCCTTTTCAGCACCCCCCCCCCCCCTTCTCAGCAAAAGCCCAGTGTGTAAAGTCAATACGGACAGATCTTTTTCATTGCAAAACTCCAGAGAATCCAAAACTCTGCTGCCAGGCTCTGTTCACTTTGATGTACATGTACGGTATATGTATTGTAATTTGTAGGTTTATTCACACTTTTTTGTTTTGTTTAATAAGTAATTGTTTATCAGTCTATTTTTGTTTGTTATAGCGCTTAGAGATTTTGGTGGTAAGCGCTTTAAAAGTAGCGTTTTTTTTTATTTTAATTTTTTAAAATTTTGTTACGAGCCAGAGATTTTGGGAACACGCATGCGGTACCTCCGTTCCCTGTTGATATTGATTTCATGGTTATATTTATTTTACAAATAAAATCAAACAACACAGTGAGGGTTGTAGATGACTACTAAGCAATCATTACTGTATGAAGGACGCTGAGTTGAAGTTATTCATGATTTATTCAAGAGAGGAAGGTCAGACAGACCTGATGTTTAAAATATTTAACAAGAGAAAATTCATAGAAACAGAGAGAGGCATTGAGAGAGATGTCGACGCTTAATGAAAGAGAAAGAGTGATAATAAGGAGAGAGAGAGAGGGGAGAGAAAGAGAGAGAGATGGAGAGGGGTGGGAGAGATAGACAGGGAGAGCAAGAATTAGGTGTGAAGAGGAAGATCAAGAGAATGAGAGATTAAATTTTACAAATGTACATGTTTCCATGTACCTTTTCTTAATTTATATTATAATGTGAACGATATAGTGATGGTCTTTGCTTAATTTTAGTTTGCATTCTTTCCTCTAGCCTTGTATTCTAATTTATTATTTTAATTTAGTAAATGTTGTATAAATATAATTTTGATTTCTATCTCTTCCCCTATGTCATAGCCTTGTTCTTGCTCTCCCTTCCTTATGTTAGTCTATCTCTCTTTCTCTCTCTCTGTAATGATAACCCCTCTATCAATCTTTTCTTCATCAACTCTTGATATATTCCTCCTCTTCTCCTTCTCGTTCATCATCACGATCATCATCATCATCTCAAAACTGTATTAATCAATTTACATGTATAAGACTCCTGAGATTGATCAATACAGTTCTTATAATATAAGACCATTATGTACAAACAATAAACCATATGGTCACAATCATTTAATAAACAGTGGTAAGAACAATTATTCCAACTTGATGGGCAACAACGTAATCTCCATTTTCTCCTCCTCGTTCAAATATTGGCTTCTTTTTCATTCTTTACTCGTGTTACTTCTCTATCTCTCTGACTACAGTGTATTCTCACAAGAAAGTAGAATCAACGGTTTGACATGAACCAGTCTAGAAAATGAACTAAATTTATTCAAGCATCAAATACATTTTGAATTTCAGACAGCTTTCTCCCAGGAGATGAAACAAATGTCTCCCTAACCAGAAACTGGCAAAATAACTAAATGCCTTCCCCTATTTGTAGTCTCTCATTATTCTTCCCTCTAGTGATGGAGGGTCCTTATCCAGTAGCACACAATGTCTCTTATACATAGTAGACGGCCATCTCTGCATGCCTTTCTCCCCCCCCCCCCCCCCCCCCCCCCCATCCATCCATCGTCCAGTTCCTCTCTACCTCTCTACCTCGGATGGCTGAACAGTACCCCCAGCGTCAGGGCAGAGAACACCCATAAAATAATGACTCCTCAATTTCCAAGCTTGAGTCCCCTCCTTGTAGAAAGTCACGTATCACTTCTGTTGTCCATTGTGAAATGAGCTCTCTCGTAGCATCTACGTCATCTTCTGATTCATCGGCCATAGTGTTTGATGATGCTGCAACTGATAAATAAAAGGAAAAAGACAATCAAATTTAAGTTTGTAACCTCAAGAATAACGGTAACAAAAGAACCCTTATCGCACGTTCATGGGGAAACATTTTTGTGCTAAAGGGTGACCCCAAAAAGGTGACCCCCCCCCCCCCCCCTCTCATTCACCGGCTGGCTGAGTCGATGTGAAATTTTCGGCACGATTTTCAAATTTTAACCCCCCCCCCCCCCTCGAAAAAATCCTTCATACGCCCCCGTCATGTAGATCCTCAAGTAGAGCTCATCAATACATAGACTATTATATTCAGATCAAGATCGACAAATCTATCGTTTTCATGGCCTCTTTTACTTTTTTACATTTACTAATTGCCATCACTATCTACTGTCGGCCATTCTAGTAGATCCTATTCCAATATCAATTATGTATAGTCTATAGGATCTAGACCTGTTCATATTTCCTGAGACATAGTCTCATTTTACTGTAAATTTGGTTAACTTCTACCTAAAACACAAGGCAATCAGTCTACTTAAAATGCACACACAAGTCATATAAACATACGGCACTAGATCTAGGCCTACATTTACTAAAGTTGGACCCCGGCCCACTCTCATACGTCGTATTATCAGCTTTATTCGTCATAAAAGGAATAAGCACAAACTTTAGTTTCTTACCGTACAAATGATACTGGAGTGAAAGAAAATCACTGCATAATAGCGGATTTTGTACAAGATTAAGATGTTGCTTCGATAAGAATCCCGTTGTTTGCAACGGGACAGCTGATCACGGCGAAGGTAAAAATGTACTAGAATTATGTCCCGGCATGCTTTGCGATGAAACAACCGTGAAGGCACGTATAGCAATACGCTTCCTCGTGTTGCCATGCGAGGATCACAATACGGGTATTTACACGTTCCTTTATTTAGTTGATCGAACAATAGATATTGATCCAACCTACAACACCGTTGTACACGTTCCTTAGAAATTCAAACACAAAGTATACCTGTCAAGGCATGACATTATTTGTTACGCGGCAGAATAATTACCCTTTTTACCTGAGCTGAGACTATCAGCACTTGCTACAGCGCAAAACAAGACCGTACGAAGGTACATCTACCAGGTAGGTGAGACTTTAACTCACATGCCCTGCACATGTTGGTTGATCCTAGTTTTTCCTTCATTTATATGCAAAAACTGAAGGTATGTTTAATTCCGTGCTATTATTCTTATGAGTGTATGTTATGCTAGGATTGTACGTGTATCTTTAATGTTTTTGAGGTTTGTAGGACAAATTTGGGCCTCTTTTGAAGTTTGGATAGTGGTAAAAGTCCATATTGGTTTCGACTGTGCTTACGGTACTTGTGAAAGTGATTGATAATTTGTAAAATAATTCTTGGTTATATACTTCAAGGAAGTGTAAGAGATGCTGAAATGTCTCGTGATAGTTTACAAGTTATCTGGAGACGTTCATTATTGTTTTGGTGTTATATTTCATAAATTCGGGATGACACGTGAGACCTATTTTTCTTACGCTATTTTAGGACTTCAGTGAATTGTAGTACTTATACGGACATAGTATATAGCGGAGGGATATTTTTAGACGCCAGGTTTAGTGATTCGCCTTACGGTTAGTCTTGTTTATGTCGCCCTAGGTAATATCGAGTTATTCGTTTAATACTTGAAAAGGGGATTTTGGTATGTGATTTATAGTATGCTGAATGGAGTTTTTATGTAATTCAGAAATGAGACAAAACACACATTTTATTTTGCTTAAAGAAGACACTATTAATTAGAGTATAGAAGTGAAATGAATAGTTATTTGTTAAGAGTTCGAATGTGGAACAGTGGATCTTTACTTCTAGTTGCTTTACACTATAGTCGTAAACTGAAATACACCCTTGTAGGCAGTGGCGTACGCAGGATTTTTTCAAGGGGGGGGTTTTAAAATCGGGTCCAAAATTTCGCAACGACTCAGAAAAATTTGAAAATCGCGCCGGCCAAAAAGTCGCTCAGTGGGGGGGGGGGGAGTCAAAAAAAAA